AGACTATATCTTTGTTCCTAATTTTTTTTTTTTTTTTTTTTAGGAAATCCCGTAAACCTTTAAAAAATCATTATAGCCATACGGTGGATGGTGGACGGAGGACTGACAAAAAATTTTTTATTCGTTTTTCGAATTTTAAGTATCCTAAAACGTAAGAGGAGCAAATTTTAAGAGGGGCTTAAGTTTTTGGTCGAACACAATGGTTCATTATTGAAAATAATAAACCATAAATATATTTAAATCGCGATATTTCTACTATTAGTGCTTTGATTTCGATGAAACTTCATTAATTTTTTAGGAAATTTAAACACCTTTCAAACAACTTATCACAACATCGACAAAAAAGTGTATACTTTTTGAGGTATTCGGAATTTCATTTCACCACCCCTCGTTACTTTTTTCTCAGCTTTTTTTTATATGTATGTTATATAGATAAAGTTAAATGGCGTTGAGAAAATGACTTTAAAGAAGTTTCATTAAAATCGGTGAATACGTTTAGGCGCTATAGTCTACAGCAACGTAGGTTTTTCGGCCGCCATTTTGAAAGTAAAAGGCGGATGGTAATGTCAGTAAAGGAGGATCAACCTCGGAAGACTTCTGATTTTATATCTAGATTTGAAAAAAATCTGTCCTGTAGTTTCGGAGAATGCGTGGACGGCGGACAGACAAAAACATTTGTATTCGTTTTTCAAATCTACGTATCCTGAAACGTAAAACCTCAAATTTTAAGAGGGGATTAAGCTAAATGAAGTTATAACCTGAATTATGAACATATTATTCTATTGAGCGTGTGAAATTTTAATGTACTTCTTTAAATTAAATAATATTCTTTCATCACAATTAATGGGTATCAAAATGATGCAGAAGAAACGAATATTGCTCAGAAAATAAAATGTTCACGAGTTCATGATGTGAAATTTTACCTTTCTAAAAATGGTAAAACTATTTAGAGATCTTCTTTTTTAATATTAATGTTCAAAAAAAAAAATTGTTCTTTTATGACATATGATTTCTAGATAATAACTTTTTTTTTACTAAAAGTTACTGGCGATATTTAAGTAAAAAGACCCAAATATTTACTATTTAATGATCAAGGCATTAGTAATCAAAATATATTTACAATTAGAGTTTCTGATTATTTAAAGCATATGAATAAAATCATGATTGTTAAAAACTCTTGAATCCTTATTATAAATACCTATATTAGAAAATATTTTTAAAAAGTTCCATATATTTTATGTTTAAAAAGATTTCTTCTTTGTATGTAGCAAAAAAAAAGTCTTCTTATATGTATAATAAAATGGAATAGCATAAAAAAATAACTTTATTCTGGAACGAACTCCCTTTAGAATAACAAAATAGTACAAAAGAAACGACTTAATTCTGGCCAAAATGCTTGGTATTTAATTAAATTAAATTTTGTATTCTATTTAACTTATTTATTGAAAAATCTTACAATCTGGTTCATAGGACATTTATAATAGTGTTCAGAGATCACATTCACACTCTATGTACAATGAATTATACAGAAAAATAATATCTATACAATAAATAAGTCATTAAATTAGATACATTTATTGAAATTAGATTAAAAAAACACAGAAAACATGAAATAATCTTGCGATATACAAAACAATTTCATAATAAAATAATCTATGTTTAAGAAAGAACATAAATGTAAAGAAAGCAAACATAAAATCTAATAACTGAACAATTAATCTCTAATAATAAAAAAATACATTTCAGTACATTAACAATATATACGAAACAAAAAAATGATAAATGAAAAAAAAGGGGGGGAAAACAAAACAAAATTAACTTTTCTAATTGATGAGTACCGAGTCTATAATAAGTAAAAGAATACATACATATATATATATATATATATATATATTAGTTAACGTTTCGAAGTTGAATTTAAATCCATTTTAAAAACTTACTTAATATCACTAGCAGTGTTTTAATTAATATCACAATTCAGTACTGGATTGGAGTGTGTCATGTAGGTGCTCAAAGCTGTCCCTAGACATTCGCAAATATTGAAAAAATCTATCTTCATAAGATTGAAGCAGACGGCCGAGGCGATGGTATTCTACCGATCAGGCTCTGTGCTTTTTGATTTCATGAATCCTTTTTCTTTTTTTTACTTTAATGCTGAAGAGCTAAACTAACTAGAAGTGCCTCCTCATCAGAATCACCTATTTTCTATTAAAAAAAAATGAATAAGAAAAATATCGAAAACAAATTATTAATATACAAGTTGCGGGAAGCAGGTACCCTAGCTGACTAGGCCAGGCAGAGCGACGGGGCTGCTGTATCGCTTTCAAAGTAACGCTCTCTGTGTGCCTGCCCCGGATTAGGTATCGCCGCGAGTATCGCGCGTTATTGTAACGTAACGTCGTATCGCGTTCTATGTGTATGAGCCTTAAATAATAAGTAATAATGAGTGAAGAATTTATCTTTATTTGTTTACTTCATAAAATTTAAAAAATAAATCTATACATATATACTTATTTTTTTTAACTGATCACCCCAACCAATCTTCTCTTCAATTATTCACTACAGTCAACCATCGTTTCAAAATCATAAAATTTAAAATACATAGTGACACGTTTTTCGAACGCCATTTCGAAACCAAAGGTCGGATAGTAATATTGAGTTCCGGGGATGCTTCTTCCAACATTCTCGTGTTACTTATTTATATGTATTGATAACAAATCTCTAAACAAGCGGACCTCTACTCTCGGAAAAAAGCCACGGATTCAATTTTCGGATTATACTTATCTTATAACGCAAAACCTCAAATTTGGGATGGGAGGTTAAATTTTTTTTTTTCCCTTGATAATTTAGAAAGGTTCTCGATGTTTTTGTTAATGTATTTAAATTCTTTTGTTTTTACTCTTGGAAAATTTACCAAAAAACAATTTCCTTATTTTTAAATACAGCATCGATATGTCGAATGTCGTAACACTGATTGTAAGTGTGTATAATGTGATTTCATTAAGAGAATTATTTTTTTTTTTAAATTGATTTTTTTTTCATAAATCCTTAAATGGAGAGATAGTTAATAAGATACCTAAAACAAACCAAATTAAAGGAAATTTAATGGAAGGCACATATACATATACACACAAAAACAAATATATGATTTGTCAAAACCAAACAAAAAAATCATGTGGAGTATATAAAAATTGTTATCCTCAAAAGTTTATTAAATAAATGTTCTATGCTCGAATGTTACGTGGTAATTCTATGCTATTAATGAATTCTTTAAACTGCTTCTTGTATTTTTTGTATAGTAGGGATTTGGGAAGAGGCCATGTGTCCCCTTGCGTTAAAGAGGGTTTCAGGAAGGTGGCTCTTTTGTGTTGGTATAACTGACAGTCGTTTAAAATGTGTATGAAAGTTTGTGGAGTCAGTCCGTCGCAATCGCATACATCTGTCGCTTTTAAGTGGAATCTGTTTAGATATTGGTTATTCGGGTCGTGTTCATTAAGGAACTGGATTAGTTTGTAATGGATTTTTGTTGCATTGTAGTTTAGCAGAGTGATGTTTGGAATGTATTTAAGTAATGGTCGTCCTTTGGTAGATTGTTGCCAATGTCTGTTCCACTCTTCGACTAAATCAGTCCATACGTGTTTTTTAACGTAAGTTAAGGAGGCTAAATTATATTCATTAGGCAGTTGAATATCACAAGCAGCTACTTTTGCCATTGCATCAGCTTTTTCGTTTTCCTGGATGTCGCTGTGTCCCTTTACCCAAATCAGTTGTGTTTTTATGTCCAAGTTCAATAGTTCGATAATATTGTTTCTAATTTGAACTGTTAGTGGGTCCTATATTTTATTGTTTTTTATTGAGTAAATGGCTATATTATTATCAGTATAGATGTAAGTAGATTCTGTTTTGTCTTTTCATCGTAAAAGGACTGTAGCCTTTAGAACTGCCAGCTTTTCTGCCTAATTATTTGAGCAATTCCGTCCGAGTCAGTGTATTTTTTCATAATAGTCGCCGTCTTATTTTTATATGTATATATATTACGCACCTGTGAATACTGTGTTAAGTGCAATTTTGGGAATTTTATGGGAAGCGCCACAAACCTATTTTTTCTTTCTATCTTTATATATATATATATATATGTATATATAGGAATATGATGGTTGAAACAGGAGCATTTGGGGGATTTTAACTGAGGAAATTATGAAATTTATGTATTGCTGGATTGGGTAACTTTATGGATTAAAGGCGACTGAAGAAAGGTCGACTCGCTTTAAACTATCAATTGATCGACTGATGTTTAAACTATCGATTGATGTTTTAGTTTGTCCTAAACGTGCAAGAAGATGTCCCCAATAAACACTAACTCTATTCAAAGTGAGTATTAAATTGGTTACCAGAACGAAAAGTTGACGAAGGTTATTAATACACTTTAAAGTATGGCAGATAGCACTTATAACGAATTCATGATTTTTAAAAATAAAGTTCCGAATTGTGGTATGGATTTGAGGAGAGCGACTTTATCCTATAAGGATTGAAGTTTAACATTTTCTCCATAATAAAAGCTTGTAAGGAAAAAAATAACTATATTTAATTAATTTTAGTGGAATATCAACCCTGTAATTATTGATATAGGATTTTATTATGGTAGTTAATAATTCATAATGAGGCACCTGAAGAAAAAAAGGGTTTTCTGTTGTAAATAAAGAATCGAAGAAACATTAATTACTGCCTGACGGGAATGACGAAATTCGTACGTTGCTAATTTCCGGAGTACTATATCTGTGAAGTATGGATTGAAGATTTGAGAAGATAATGTAAACCATAGTAGATGGAAGTATAGCAATATTTTATGTCTTGATCTACAAAATCTGTGTCAGATTAAAGGATCCATTGAAAAGGTCTAAACATCGAAACCATGGGTTGCAGGAAATATGAATACTGTGTGGTGAAAAAATTGGTTAAGGGTGCTGTGAAGATGAACGATTAAATAAATATTGACTTACATTTATTGAATGTACAAATACAGTTTCTTTGAAAAAATTGTAAGTTTCCTCATAATCATGCCATAACGAACTGGTGTAGAATTGGTGGGTAGCGTGGTACATACCAAAAAGGGTTGCTATTTTCACAGGAGCATAATTTCTCTTTAGACAAAAACGCATTACTTCGTAATACAGATCTGCCATAATACGCCTTTCTTTTTTCTTCACATAAAGCACTTCACAAATATGACCTATCAAAGCAGGTACAGTTATTGATTAGGACAAAAAGTTTCGCTAATTGATTATCAGGAAGATAATTTTAATATTTTCAAAACATTATATCCAGATAAGGTAGGGTCTATCTACCCCTTAGGGCTCATTTTATCTAATAGCTAATAGAACATGATTCAAATCACTATTATATTAGGTTCCCTAACTTAACAACAACTCAAGTATTAAATTGATATTTAGTAGATTCAGTTGTAGACTATAATAATAAGAATAGTGACCCGAGTATTTAGCTGGAGAGGTCATAACTTCTGTGCGAAGGAGCTACGAGACCAAATAGTTATGTTTGGTTTTAACAGAAAAGGAAGGAGTTGAAGTTACTAGCGGATCCAGGATATAATTTTGGAGTGGGGCTTCAGCCCGAAAGTTTTTTTCATATATATAAGAATAATTAATTTGAGAAAATAAAGAAAGAAACTAACTACCTATATGAAATGGTGTTTAAGTGATTCTTGAAGTCCTATTAAATTTAAAAACACGAACAATAAGGCCCTCCGCTCACGAGGCGAGAAAACTCGAGGAGAACTGTGCGTCAAGCTTAACTTAGGCCCTCCGCTCACGAGGCGAGAAAAATCGAGGAGAACTGCGCGTCAAGCTTAACTTACTCGTCTTGTGCGTCAAGTGCCTCCCCAACGAGGCGAGAAAATTCGAGAGTTGCACTCGACGAACTGTGCGTCTTATGCGATTTTAGCTACAATATATATGTATATTAATACTTTTTAATATCGGCAATGAAGACTTTGTTTTTCACTGTTAAAACAATTTTTCGGCAATGTAGAAGTAGACGAAAATAAGAAAATAGTGTAGACAATTCTCTAAATTTTCATTAGATTTTCCTCTTTTATCTTGTGAATAGCTGAAAGGATTTTTATCATCGATTTTCTTGTGGTCCAACTATTTTCGACCAACGAAAAAGTAGGCGAAGATAAGGAAATAGTGTAGAGAATTTTCCGAATTTTAATTCGCTTTTCTTCTTTTATTTCGAAAATGGATGCTCGGATTTTCACTGTTCTAATCATTTAACAACTTTTAAGAGGTAGGCCAATGGAAAATGTTGTGGTACAAATATTCCTAATTTTCTTTCGCTTTTCCTCTTTTATAACGGAATGGACGGTCGGTTATTCATCGTCCCAATAATTTTCCAACTGTTTAGAGTTTGGCGAAAATGGGGAACGAGTGCAAACCTTTTCCAAATTTTCATTCGCTTTTCCTCTTTCATCTCGGAAATGAAAGATCGGTTTTCTAGTGTTCCAACCATTTTTCGGTAATGTAAAATTAGGCGAAAATAATAAAATAATGTAGAGAATTTTCATTCACTATTCCTCTTTTATTTCGGGAAAGGATGCTCGGATTTTCACTGTTCCAACCATTTCCCAACTGTTTAGATGTAGACCTACGGAAATTGTAGTGGTACAAATTTTTTGAATTTAGATTCTCTATTCCTCTGTTATTCGGTAAATAGATGATCGGTATTTCATCGTCTCAAATATTTTTCAGCTGTTGAGAGTTAGGTGAAAATGAATGAAAAAGTGCAAACATTTTATGAATTTTCTTTCGGTTTTCTCATTTTTCCAAGAATTTTTTCGGCAGTTTAGAGATGAGCGAAATTGGGGAAATGGTGGAGAAAAGTTTCCGAATTTTCATTCTTTTTCCTCTTTTCTCTCATGAATGGATTTTCACTATTCCAACCATTTTGCGAACTGTATAGAATGGAGACAGTAGTGGTACAAATTTTCCGAATTTTCTTTAGCTTTTCCTCTTTTATTACGTGAATGAATGCTCAGTATTTCATCATTACAATAACTTTCAAGCTGTTTTATTTTGGTGAAAATGTGTAAAAAGTGAAAACTTTTATGAAATTTATTTCTTATTCCTTTTTGAACTCGCGAACGAAGGGTCGGTTTTCAGTTCTCCAACAATTTTTCGGCAATGTTTAGGTAGGCGAAAATGGAAAGGTGCTGTAGATAATTTTTCGAATTTTCATTCGCTTTTCCTCTTTTCAAACACTTTTTGAACCGTCAAGCGAGGCAAAAATTTCGTTGAGAAATTCGCGAAAAACGAATATAAGCTATGTTCCTCCCTAAAAAATTATTTACTCTGGATACAAGACTGATTTTTAGTAAATATTATATTTGGTTGATAGCTACAGTATTAGTATAATTTAGACCAAGCTATGTGGGGGTATATATTTTTTTTATGGAGAAACCAAATTTATATTAGTTTTTCGCACCACAAAAACCCTACAAATTTTTATAGCAATTGGAATTAATTCGAAACGAGAGGGCCCCGAAACATGTGGGATTCCCCAACCACACTACTTCCAAGTAAATTTCTACATAGATCCCCAACAAGGCGAGATGGAATCGTAGCGAGAGGAAGACTCGAACTCGAAGCGAGAGTTAGGCGCGGTGCCCCAACAACACTACTTCCCAGTCAATTCCTATATATCTCTCCAACGAGAGAGTAGAAATTCAAGAGCGATAGCAGTGAACTGTTTAAACGAAAAAATTCGAGCTTGACGCATGAATTACTTTATAAAAAAAATTATGGCCGTATTATTAATAATTAATACTGATTCTTGTTTCTATTTCTTTGATTATTTTTATAGTATGATAAGTGAAATGAGTACGCGGATTTTCAATATCCTAATTTCTAAAGATAGCCCAATGAAAACAGTATTGGTGATAATTATGCGAATTTTCATTCGCTTCTCCTCATTTATTTCTATAATGACTACTCAAATTATCTTTTTTCCAAAACATTTTCAGCAATGTAGATGTAGACAAAAATAGGGAAATGCTGTAGAAAATTTTCCAAATTTTCCTTCGCTTTTCCTCTTTTATCTCCTAAATGAGCGCTAGGATTTTTAATGTTTCAAACATGTTTCTAATTTTTAAGGATAGGCCAATAAAAACCGTATTGGTGAAAATTATTCCAATTTTTATTCACTTTTCCTCATTTATCTTCTGAATGAGTGCACGGATTTTCACTGTTCCAAACATTTTCCCAATTTTTAAAGGTAAGCCAATGCAAGCAGTATTGGAGAAAATTATCAGATTTTTTTAGAATTCAGAAAAGTTTTGCACTTGTTTCCCAATTTCGCCCAACTCTAAACAATTGGAAAATTGTTGGTACGATGAAAAACCTAGCGTCCATTCACATAATAGAAGAGGAAAAATAAAAGAAAATTCGGAAAATTTGTATCAATAATGTTTCCATTCCTCTTCCTCTTAACGAAATGATTGGAATTGTGAAAATCCGAGCACTAATTCAAGAGATAAAAGAGGAAAAGCGAAAGAAAATTCGGAAAATTCTCTACACTATATCTTCATTTTCGTCTACTTTTACATTGGCGGAAAATGGTTAGAACACGAGAAAACCGAACCTTCATTCTCGAGATAAAAGGAGAAAAGCGAATGAAAATTCGGAAAAGTTTTGCACTTGTTCACCATTTTCGCTCAACTCGAAACAATTGGAAAATTGTTGAAACGATGAAAAACCGAGCGTCCATTCACGTAATAAAAGAGGAAAAACGAAAGAAAATTTGTACCACTACTGTTTCCATTCCCCTTCCTCTTAACGGAACGATTGGAATTGTGAAAATCCTAGCATCCATTCGAAAGATAAAAGCGAATGAAAATTTGGAAAATTGTCTACACTATTTTCTTATTTTGGTCTACTTCTGCATTGCCTAAAAATTGTTTTAACAGTAAAAAACAAAGTCTTCATTCCCGATATTAAAAAGTATTAATATGCATATATATTGTAGCTAAAATCGCATAAGTCGCACAGTTCGAGTGTATCTCGACTCTTTGTGTTGGCGAATTAAGCGAGATTTGACGAGTTTGGCGCACAGTTCTCCTCGATTTTTCTCGCCTCGTGAGCGGAGGGCCTTACTCGTCATGTGCGTCAAGTGCCTCCCCAACGAGGAGTGAAAATTCGAGCGAGAAAAATCGAGAGTTGCACTCGACGAACTGTGCGTCTTATGCGATTTTAGCTACAATATATATGTATATTAATACTTTTTAATATCGGGAATCAAGACTTTGTTTTTCACTGTTAAAACAATTTTTCGGCAATGTAGAAGTAGACGAAAATATGAAAATAGTGTAGATAATTTTCTAAATTTTTATTAGATTTTCCTCTTTTATCTTGTGAATAGCTGATAGGATTTTTATCATCAGATTTTCTAGTGGTTCAACCATTTTCGACCAATGAAAAACTAGGCGAAGATAAGAAAATAATGTAGAAAATTTTTCGAATTTTCATTCGGTTTTCCTCTTTTATTTCGGAAATGGATGCTCGGATTTTCACAATTCCAATCATTCCGTTAAGAGGAAGAGGAATGGAAACAGTACTGATACAAATTTTCCGAATTTTCTTTCGTTACGGGAAATTACGGGAATGGGCGCTCGATTTTTCATCGTCCCAACAATTTTCTAATTGTTTAGAGTTCGGCGAAAATGGGGAACGAGTGCGAACCTTTTACAAATTTTCATTCGCTTTTCCTCTTTCATCTCGGAAATGAAGGATCAGTTTTCTAGTGTTCCAACCATTTTTCGGTTATGTAAAAGTAGGCGAAAATAATGAAACAATGTAGTGAATTTTCATTCACTATTCCACTTTTATTTCGAGAAAGGATAGTCGGATTTTCACTGTTCTAACCATTTCCCAATTGTTTAGAGGTAGGCCAATGAAAACAGTAGTGGACAAAGTTTCCGAATTTTCTTTCACTTTTTCTCTTTTATACGTGAATGGACGCTACGATTTTCACTGTTCTAACCAGTGACAACTGTTTAGATGTATACCAACGGAAATTGTAGTGGTACAAATTTTCTGAATTTAGATTCGGTATTCCTCTGTTATTTGGTGAATAGATGCTCGGTACTTCATCGTCTCAAATATTTTTCAGCTGTTTAGAGTTAGGCGAAAACTAATGAAAAAGTGCAAACATTTTATGAAT